ATAATATATATAACACGCCTCCCCTAATGGTGGCCTGACATGCCATACATCATTGCTCGCGCGCGCGCATCGTGGCGCAGTGTGCATTTCCCACGAGCGCGTGCGATCGCGCGCAAGCAGAAACGGAACGGCGTTTGTCGGCGGGGCGACGCAAAAAATGTTTAAATGCAGCGAAGTTCTGATGTGAATGTGCTGAGATGAACATACTAAGATGAATGCGCTACTAATATGAACGTTCTGAAATCGATGTTCTCAAGATGAACGTACTAAGATGAATGCTCTGAGATGAACGTGCTGAGATGAATGGTTTGAGATGTATCTTCTGAGATGAACATGCCGATATGAACATTCTGAGGTGAACGTTCGAAGGTGAATGTTTTGGGATGTACTTTCTGAGAGGAACATGCTGTTATATGAACGTTCTGAGATGAACATTCGAAGGTGAACGTTCTGAGATGAACGGACTGCATTCGGATGAAGTATTACGAGCGCTAAGGTAGGCTTGAGGAGCGAGTGACGTCAGACGGTTGTCACGGTGACGGCGGTGGCTGCGGAGTACGTATATAATGCAGTATATTGTACGCATATCTGTTGTTCCTCACGGGCACTCATTTTACCTTTCTTGCCTTACCCTTCTCTGCCTGCTACCCTTCTTCCTCTGTCTTCCTCTTCCTCCGTCTTCCTCTTCCTCTCATGCCTCGTTTACCTTCTCCCTACATCGTCTTCTTACTCGCGCTAAGTAAACCTTCCTTAAGCCACAATTAAAAAAATATTTGTTTGCCCTCACCCGACCCAGGCTGAAAAGTTTGGGTAGATAGGTAGGCTTTTTTTTAATGGGTCATTTTACAAATTCAGCATGGTGGCTACATTCTCGGGTGTGCTTGTGTGGCGATACCTTTTATGTTGAATGATTGTTTTGCTTGCTACATATAATTAAATGTATTGCCTACAGCTTTATATAATGTACAGTGATACAATTTGTAAAAAAAAAAAGATCAATAAAAATAGTTTCTCACTGGCTGCTAGCTTTCCTTCGCCTGCCTTCTCTCACTCTCATTTCTTCTTCCCCCTCTTCCTCCTTTCCTCACCTCGCTTCCTCCACGCATGTTTCCGCACGTACACTGAGCAGATCTATAGCTTGCAGTGTGAAATCGAGAGGAAACTTTCCCTAACCCGGCCTGCAGTGCCGGCAGCAGACGCCTCCGCTCACGACGATAGGGCGCGAAGCTAGCACGGAGCTCTCTCTCTCTCTCTCTCTCTCTCTCTCTCTCTCTCTCTCTCTCTCTCTCTCT